AATGTACGAAACCTTCAGTAGACGAAGTTAAATTATATAGCGATTGCTTAAATAATGAAAAGAAGAGAATACACTGATCTGAAATGATAACGATTACAAGGCTAATATTCCAAGACGAAGGATCAGTGACGAGAAATACGTCGAAGACCTCGAACGTTCGCCGGGAACCGTCTAAAAACGCGGAAACGCGAGATCCGTGTTCACCCGAGAGCGAAAGAGGATCACGGGAATAACCGCGAGTACTCGCGGAACCGCGCGGTCGCGAGCACCGTGCGAATTTCTGCACCGGCCAGCCGGATATCCTTCGGCCCGTCAAGTTCGAGGACGGTTTTAAAGCAATCTTTCCGCCCGCAGCTCTGCCGGGACGCGAAAGTTTGTCGCCGTTTGCGCCCGTGGACTGAAATAACGTCGCCGAGACAGTTCCCCGACTCGACTCGACTGACGTCCAACTCCGGAGGCTTCTCCGCGAGTTTCTCAGGCGAATGGGAAACTCGGTTAATCTCTATCCGGCTATCGGGCGCAGCGTTTTCACCGTTGCCTTTTGTCCGGGCAGCTGGACAGCTTTTATTGTTCTGTGTAGCTACAGTCGACGGCTAAGCCGAAGAATGCGGGTTTAATTGGTTAGGCTTCAGTCTTTATCTTATTTACCGCGGTAATTTGCTGGTCCTCGGTACGGTTACACGCGACTAAGACTAAAACTTTTATTCTTTTCGTCGCATTTGTTAACCCTTTGCACTCGAACGGTGACTCTCACTCACCACTTGATTTCATGTAGTAAAACTATAAAATTTGATATTTAATATAATCCGTATAATGTATAAATTTGAGAAATACTGAAATAAAATACCTTCGTTCCTCAATGCATATGTGATTCCTCTTCGAGTTAGGTTCACAGAATTTCGTTTTTACCTCATTAGAAAATGTTAAAATATTTCTAGTGAGGAACTTCCGAGTGCAAAGGGTTAAAAAGACAGACAAGGTTCGCGTGTCTTGCCCATAAAGAAGCCCATCAATAGAATGACGAGTGGTCTGCCAACTCTAACGCGTAATTTCGTGCACAGAATTCACGCGACACGCAGTACAAATGAAAAATTACGTTTCATTATGATTTTAATTTTCTGGCGTCCTCGGACATTCAAATTTGCACACGTCACTTATCCGCGGAACCCGCATAGCCGCCGAAAAACGTCAATTAGCGACACGAATCGCGATCCCCGCCCCGCGTAAAACAGGCCAAACTGTGAAAATAACAATGCGAAAGCAAAGAAAAAGAATCGTTTCAATGGTATTTATCATTTACACGGGATTGTAAGCTATAACACTTATTCATTCAAGAATAAAATACAGCCTTTTCCATGGAACAAAAGCGCAGTATATCAAAATTGATTTCTTTTGGCCGGTTTTTTAAAAAAAAAAACTGCGTTAAGGGGTTAATCCATTTACGTATTTATCGCTGCAGCGTTGCGTAGAATACCAGCTTCCGAATTTCAAGGTACAGTGAAATGGGGTTGCTCGTCGCGGAAGCTTTTCAGCAGAATCCTTTAGCTTCGCGGTGCACGGCTCGTTCCAGTCGAAGGGAGTTCGACAAAGTTATCGGGCAGTCTTCGAGGCTATTTATTTTCGTATCAACGCTCGCGGACCCATTGTTCCCGCGGATAATAAGAAGTTCCCGGTCGCTCTTAATTCCGCGTCGTAGGCGGGAAACAATTCCCTCGGCGGATATAGGGGAGCCGTTGGAATCGCTCGGCCCAGAAGTCGATTAGGATTCTTTTCGAAGACGGCGGGCGTCTCCCCGCTTTGTCGCGCGGGCCTGTCTCCGGAGGACGAGCGGGACGGAGGAATATCTCGCGGCGCGACGCGATGAATACCAAGAATTTCCCCGTGGAAAATGATGCTGACGGATCAAACGCGCTCGATCGGTTTCGCTCGTTAACGCTGGAACTGCCGCGAATTTCGAAGGTTTCGTGTAACGATATTCTGTCGTGACAAAGGCAAATGGTGTTGGGAATAATCATTAACACTGTTATAGTCACAGCAGTGTTTCTTAACGTGAATTTGAAATTTGTAGAATTTAACTGAATTTAAGGAACCGGTGATTCTATGGCAATCAACATGTTAACCCTTCGCACTCGAGAGGTGACCCAGTCACTACTTGATTCGATGCAAAATTGTAAAGTTCGATATTCAACATTCAACGGACGAAGATTCTTTGAAATATACAAAACCTTCAGATCGAGTGAAATTATATATGGATCGCTTAGTTAATAGAAAAAAAGAATACTACGTGCCGATCTCTTGTTGTCCGACTAATTGAACTACCGAGCATTTAATCTGATTAAATAAGTAACAATAGATTATTCTCAGTTTCCTCAGACATTCGTTATAGCACTCAAATGAAGCTATTCATTTTCAAAATCGTTTCGAATTCAATGCTTCGAAGATATAAATAATTGCTAAACAAACAAATCGAAACCATTTTGACTGGTACGGTAGTTCTAGTGTTAATGACTTGGTATCACACGTGTTACACTACCATCTAGCTGTCTGTGTTACCGAGTATTTTTATTCGATATCAGTTTTCTTATTGTAATTGTATTTAAGCAATTTCGAAGCTCCGGTGACTACCATGGCAGCCAATCATTTGCAATGATTAAAGAGATAACAGATGTTTCTCCGAGAAGTGATTAAAGAAACTGATTTGCCGATACGCAAACTGAATCGTAAATCAATTGAAGTCTCGACAGACGCACTCGTAGAGATTCTATCGAGAGATTCCGCAAAGTCGGAAGACTTAACTGCTCGGTTTCAGCGTTGCCTCGAGATAATCGAGTTTCACGCATCCCAATTACCGATCTCGCGACGCAACCGAATTCCGGCGATCTTTCGATCGCTCCCGGAGTGCTCTCGACGTCTGACTTTCTCCGGATCTCGCGCGAACAGCAGGGAACCGAGGATAAATCGGTCGCCCACAAAATCTTCGAATTCACTTTCCCCAGAATTTCATCAGTTAACCCTTTGCACTCGAGAATATTTTTCATCAAAAATATTCATTACTTTCTCACTAAATATTAACGATATTTTTCGCAACACAATCGATTATCTTCTATAAACTAAGAGACAGAACTATTTTACTTCGATGTTTCACGTGTTGATACGTTACACAAGGTTTAATATCGAATTGAAAATTTTATAAGTTCGCCGCGTCGAATCGATAGTTGACCAGTTAAAACAAATCGTTCGCGTGAATGATAGTAAACGTTCGCTGCTTCATTAAATAGAGACTACGCGTGAAAATGCTTCAATTACGAATACCAAATTCTCCTTTAATGACCGATTACCGAGCAACTTCACCGAGCACAGCTGTGAAACAGATCGCACGTCAAGGGGTTGCGGTAAAGAAACTTCCGCGAAAGTTCCGAGAACACGCGAGGAACGCCGAAAATCGGTCGATCTTCCGTCGAACGGCGTTCCGAGCGAGAAGCGGATTCCTCCCGGTAGCCAGCGCCGCGCGCAACGCGGATTTAAATTCGACGTTCGGACAGCGCGAAGATCGCAGAGCGTTGGTACCCGCGGGAAGATCGATCCCTCGGTTAATTAACTGTCCGTCCGTTTCTCGTCGAACGGCCGGCGGAACCGATGGGAAATCGATCGGCCCGATGTAAACCGCGCGGTGTTCCGTTGCAGGCTGCTTCCAGCGGATCTCGAGGCTTTCTTCCGCCGGTCCGCGAAAAAAGCCGGCGTTCCCGATCGAATTAATTGCGGTCGGCCCGGGACAAAGCGGGGAGGTGCTCGATGGAAATTGAACGAGTTGTGAAAGCCGGCCGAGTGCGGCCACGTTAGCAATTAATTTCCATTGTGAGAAAGTCCGCGGGGACCTCGCGAATCCGGCGGCTCGAGGAACGAGGAAAGAATCTTTCCTCGCGGATCGTTAAGCTATTCGAGGCGAATTGCACACCGGGTGTGTAACGAAGTAGCTCAGAAAGTTGCGCATAGCGTCTGTGTGTGATAATTATGAAGTTTTATCAGTTAGCAGCGAGACTTCTGGGACGATTGAGAAATTCCGCGTTAGCGAGATGTTTATGAATCTCGCGAATCCCCTTGTCCGTCCAACTTCTTTCAAAGTTGCTTTTCAATATACCTAGGTAGTAGTGAAAGCCGGCGGAAATGAGATTGCGTTGGTTTCAAAGTAAAAAGAGCGATGGAGATAGTTGGAATAATAAAAATCTGCTTATCACCGTTAAGTACTGCGTGTTAAAGCGACTGCCAAAGGAACACTCGCGGGAACTCCCACGCAATTGAAACAATTTTCGTAATGGAACGGAAACTAAAGGTCAAGATTCTTCGTAACGATTGCTTACTCTCTAGATTTAATGCATCTGACGAGAGTTCGTCACCAAGGTTCATTTTTAAGTTGAATTCGTGTGACACGTAGTTGAAGTGATAAAGAAGACCCTTTGCGGACGAAGATTGTTGAAAGTATACAAAACCTTTTGCAAATTCTGCTAAACACTGAATGCCTAAATCATAGAGAATAAGGGAACTACTGATTTCTTGCTGTTCGAACAGTTAACCCTTCGCACTCGAGGATTGTTTCGCTATATGTATTCCTGATATTCTAATGAAATATCAATTATGTTTATAATTAATATTAATACAAATAATATAGAAATTAAGGGATAGAACCATTCTATTCTCACGTATCATGAATAACTACGTTAAATGGATTTTAATATTGAACATTAGACTTTGGAATTCTACTGTATCAAACCAACTGACTGTGGGTCGCCTCTCGAGCGCAAAGGGTTAAATCATTTGTACAGGGTATTCCAAGCATTGATCTCAAAACGCCGACATTCGTCCGCAAAGGGTTAATCAGCTAATCGATCACCTAATCCCCATCAAAACGAATAAAACGAAGAAAACGATTATCCTCCGCAACCGTTCCGATCGCGTCGGAAGCCTATCAGAAGCAGGTACCGTGCAAAGATTCATGGTCGCACCTTCGCCGACAGAAATACTTCGAAGCGTCGCACTTTGAACTCTCGAAAAACCCGTGGTCCTCTTCTTTCGGTCCCCGTCTAGATCGTCCCGGCCGTGAAAGTCCGCGTCGCCGGCGACGTGTGCCCGGCTCGCTGGCGGTCCTCGATCATGCTACGCGCGTTCGAGCGTCCATCCGTCTTCCCGTCGCTTTTATTGGCACCTGGAGCCGGACGAGCGGCTCCGCTCGCGGACGCAACTGCGTCGAACTGCACTTGGCCCGCCGCGACTCACCTGGCCGCGCACCGATCTCTCGTTTTAGCCGCGACGAATCGCGCTGACTCGGAAACTCCGAAGCGAATCACCCCGATCGCGTCTAACGTCTATCGCGAAACGATGTACCCTATTTCCTTCGACCTTTAATCTTCGATCACAAACTTAGAGACGTTTCCCGAAGAACTTCGGATTTCAGCCGACGAATGAACCGAGTCGACGAGGACACTCGACGATTGTTCGGTAGTCCTGGCTCGACGATCACTCGCGTCGCGGGAACGTTTTTCTGCACTTGTCACGGGAGTTCCGCGGAGAATGTCCGCCGCTCACCTGGCGCGTTCGGCTCGTAAAGCTGTAAGGTGGACGCGCGTGACCGGAGCGCTTGCAGCGCACTGACTGCTCTAAAGAACGGAGTCATCCGTGTACGAGAGCACTCGCGGAGGAGCGCCGAGTGACCCTGGCAGTGGATGCCGCCTGCGCGTTCGCGCTGTCTCTCTCTCTCCCTCTCTGGCCGCCTCTTCGTCCCTCTTTTTTCCCTCCTCCTTCTTTCCGAGCCCCTTCGCGCCGCGAATTCTACGTCATTACGGCTCCTTCGGCTGCGATACCTGTAGCCTCGTCGCCATTTTCGAATGTCCATTCTCTTCGCTTGCGTCTTCGTCGACGTTGGTCCTCTGGTCGCCTTGCGCTCGATGCTGTGGAAGTCACCGGTGACCTCTAACCCGACGTCGAATTAGATTCCCGATACGATTGGACCGGTCGACCGTGTATCGATGGTGTACCAGTCGTCTTAACCCTTTGCACTCGAATGATTTCCGATAGAAATATTCGACGTTCCGGATGGGATACGGTGATTGAAACTGATTTAACCCTTTGCACTCGGATGTCTATCACTAGGAATATTCAACGTTTCTTAATAGGTTATGTAGGGAACTCCTTGAGACGAAGTGAACGAGAGGACATAAGTTGAGAACCGAAGTTACTTCGATATTTCACAAATTTATAGATGACACGAAGTGTTTAATATTAATATTCTGTGCGAGAGAGTCGCCTCTCGAGTGCAAAGGGTTAAAGGTAACTCACATGTAACTTAAGGAATGAAACTATTTTATTGTAGAAAGTTTAATATTGAATAACTTTGTAGTTTCATTGTAGCGGTGATTGAGATTGGCCTCTTAATTGCGAAGGGCTATCGAACGATTATTTGATTATCCAAGCGAACGTGATCTCTGTTCATTGTAATATCAGTTGCGTTCGACGTGTAAATTTGAAATCACTTGAATATCGAACACAACACTTTAACTGCCGTGTCACTCAAATTCGGATGACACTATTTTTCCATAACCTTAACCCTTTGCACTCGAGAGGTGACTCAGTCACCACTAGATTCCATGTAGTGAAACTATAAAGTTTGATATTCAATGTTGAACTGTATATAACGCATCGGCGTGTAAAATATTCGGATAAGAAAGCTTTGTTTCTCAATTCACTTGCGATTTTTCTTTGAGTTAATTCCCAATAATATCGTCTGTCTAGTTAGAAAGTGTTAAATATTTCTGACGAAATACATCCGAGTGCAAAGGGCTAAACACAAGAAAGGGACATTTGTCAGCCGCACGTTCGATAATTCGGGAAATTTCGAGCAGCCGCACACCCTATCGCCGAAGCATCCGAGCGATCGTTGGCTTCATGTGCGCCTAAACGTATGAATGAAAGTCGAGCCGCGTAGAGGGGGAAGATCGCGCGAAAACTGGACGCTCGGCGGGGGTTGAACGGTGCACGGTGCATCGGCAACGAAGACGGACCGCCGACGTCGACGAAAGAAGGACGGGAACGCGCGAAATAAGACGGACGCTTCGAGATCTATGCGAGAGTGGGAGTGGGATCGTTAAAACCTGAGCCAAAATCCGACGAAGCAACAGACGCGTGATCGAAAAGTATCGTATCGAATTACTTAACACTGGAACTGCCATACGACTGACTTCGATTCTTTAATTCTGTGATTATCGACATATTAACGCTTTGACTGCCAAGTAAACTCATTGAAATTCGTGTGCTCGAAAGGGTTTTCTTAATTGAGCAGGAACTAGGAATATTCTTTATAACAATTGCTCTATTGTCTTTCTTGTGTGTCGTACATCTATCGAAATTGGAAGGAGTTGCTAAGGGTTAAACAATATAGAAAAGGGGAGTTACTGATGTTGCTATTTCAGTTATCAAATCATTTGTTCGCTGAGTGTTCCAAACACGAAAGTTTGATCCCGACAAAACGTCGGCATCCGCAAAGGGTTAAATCCGCGCTGATCCGATTCGTCCCGGCCCGTTCTGCGTCTGCTCCCAGCGCGGATGATTAGGAATCGGGAGTAACCCGAATTAATTATAGCGCCGTGATTCCCGGATCAGGCGGAGCCGCGAGTGAACTCCTCGTCCCGCTGTCTGAATTCGCTATCAAGATGGGCCGGCAGCCCGGGTAATCTCCGTCGGATGAAAGGACGCCTACATCCCCCCGACGTCCGTCTCGCCGACGACGTTTCCACTGCCGAGGAACGCTTCCGACGCCGGCACGGAGCGCGTCCGCGCGTGCCAGCTGCCTCGAAGACGGAACGCGAGCCCGTTAACGTAGCGGTCGGTTAATGGATCGAACAACAGGGTTATTTCGGCTCCTGTTCGTAATTACACGATATCGGTTGCGTCGGACGTGTAGAGGCACTCGTGCCGTTACTCGAGGAGCGAGTGAACCGCGAGACGATTGGGCAACTACTCGAGACACTTGTTTTCTTGGATAATAATAGCGAAGTAGACGCGGCCCTCGTTTGTTGATGCGTACCGTGTGAATTCGCAGGTTCTAGAGATAGAATTCTCAGACGTTCTTTTTAACACGTTGAATGCCACGGGGGTCACCGGTGAACCCCAAGCAAATCGAATTACTATAATTCACTCGATGAAACGATGATTATTCGCGTACATTTCTATATTATAGGTAATGCTATCCATTGCGGTGACATTCAGTTTGATGAACGTGCAATGATAATAATCCAATTCAGTCAAGTGATTTAATATTGTACTTTTTCCATTTTGTGTATTTTGCTCTATGACGTGTGGCGTTCAATGTGTTAATTATCATTTTATAGTCGAATTCTTAGATGGTTGTATTGTTTTGTCAATTCGGTTTTATTGAATGTGCGAGATATAGTGACCCCAACTGTTTAGCACTTTAACTGCCACGTTATTAACGTAATCTTGAACATTCATTCTCTTGGCTACGTGTCGAACGAAGTTTTATTGAATGTATGAGACATAAAGAAAGTAGTAAAGTAATCGTTACGAAGAATCTTGCCTCTCTAGTTTTCGCTTCATTAAGGAAACTGTTTCGATTGCATGGGAGTTCCGATGGTTATTTACTTAGCAGTCAAAATAGTGAGCTTAACCTACTGTTATCTGACGATTACTATTTACGATCACTATTACTCTCAATTCGAGAGCAGCAGTCATCGACGTTCCCTCTTGCAATCAACCTGTTAACCGAACATGGGATATTCGACTCTTCCTCCCCGAGGTTTCGGGCAACGCGGGCTCCCTTGACGAGGGGCCGAAGTCGTTCGAGGCACGGTCGATCGGTCTTCGTCACCGGTATCGGACAGCGGCAGGTTTATGCGCCGATAAAATAAGATTCCTTCCCGCGGAGTGGGTCGAAGGTCGCGCTCGAATCGAGCGGATAACTGAATTCGGCGTTATCTGGCGGCGGTAGTCGCGGAATCGGCGGTATCTCGTCCATCGATTCGACCCACGTTATCTCCGGTATCCGAGCTGCACTCCCGTCCTGCGTTTATCGCGCTCGTCGCCCCTGGGACCGGGGGAACTGCGTGTCCTCGCACGAGATCCCGCGATTTCTCGAGTGGCCCGCGATACTCGGCTCTGAAGAGGGCTTTAGCGCGCCGGCGATGCATCGGGACACGCGCCGAACGGATAAAAGCTGTCGCGGAAAATTGCAACGACGAGTGCATTGGCAAACCACGCGAACTACGGTTCTGTAAATTAACACGTTGAACGCCGCACGATTTCACGGAGGAAAATATGCAGGAAGGAATATAATATTGAATCGGTTGATCGAATTGCATTGTCACAGCCACTGTATTGTGTAGCATTATTTGTAATATAGAAAGGTTTTCATAGAATCGTCGTTCCATTGAGTGAACAGTGAACACCATGGCAGTCAACGTGTTAAGGAATTGCTCGTTTATTTGCTGTGAAATCGACGTTCTTGATATTTCCGCGTTATCTTCATTGCTGGAAGAGCTGACTGGTCTGGACCCTCACTTCTCGCTTCAGTGATTTTGTGAGAAGAGACAAAAGAAATAGCCAAATTGACTGACAAGCGGAGACTCGTCGGAATTCGTACAGAGAAACAGATTTCTTGATAAGGAAACTGAGAGGTCAAGATATTAGTTCGATGAGTTAACGAGAGAATTGAGTCCTTCGTTAGCTGTTCAGTTGATAGTTTCTATCGGTTTAACCCCTTGCACTCGAGAGGTGACTCTCAGTCGCCATACAATTTGATACACCAAAATCATAAAGTTTTACATATAATATTAACCTTCTCACAATCCATGAATATTTGAAATATTGAAATAACAACTTTGCTTCTTAACTCATTTATCTTCCCTCATTCAATTCATCTTAAAGGATGTCTATAACTCATTGGAAACCGTTGAATATTTCTAGTGAAAAACTTCCGAGTGCAAAGGGTTAATATTTCAAATTAAAACACTGTTAATTTATCTATGAATGATCGTTAAATTAGTTTGAAACAACATCACCTATATCTCGTCAGGAAATGTTGAATATTTCCATTGAGAAACTTTCGAGTGCAAAGGGTTACTCGTAATAAACAGGAAATTGGTATCGGACCAAAACTAGTCGATCGTTCAGTCCTGAATCTAGCAGGTGATCGAAGTTCACGCGAACCCGAAGTAATCTCGAGACATCGGTAAATGTCCAGCGGCCAGCATGATTTACGAGCCGGCCGTTGACGACCATGACAGCTCGGTGTCTTGGTCCGGCCGTCTAAAGGACACCGTTCATATCGTCAAGTGTCGTTAGAATAATGCTCGGCATCCGTTCGGTCGACCATCTTTCATTCCCGAATACCACCGGGCAAAGATCGTGCGACCCAATTACCGGGATGAAGCGGCCGACACGTATTTTTAGACGCCACGCTAGACGGACTCGAACCCGAAACCGGCTTTCATCGGAGAGGGGACCGCTAGACCGTCTGGTAGCGTCGGTTACGCGGAATAAACACATGAAATTCATTCTTCGAATAGAAACCCGAGTCGACGACCGTACGACCGCGGAGCTGGGTCATTCATTGTTCGATAGAACTTCTCGGGAAATCGGAAGAATCGCGTTCGGGGTGTGGAAATTGAATGTGAAGTCGATTAACCCTT